CTCGGTTTTTTCGGCAGATGCTTCTAGCTGGAAGAATTTCAGACTGGCCGCCAGAACTGTCGGAAAACATCCCCTCAAAATTCCAGTCTTCTAGCTTCTCACGTTCTCGAGTTTGAACTCGTTGATACCCATTTAGACATGGAACACCCCCTAATATTTCAGCTTTCTAGCATCTCAGAACCCCGAGTTATGAGTTTATGCGGGAAAAATTTTGAGGGGCTCGTACGCGGCTACCACACTTACCGGGGGGCTGGATTTGAGCTCGTTAGTACCTACTCGGACGGGGGAACATTCCCATAAAATTTCAGCTCTCTAACTTTTCTGGTTCGCGAGTTATCAGCTTATCTGTAAAAAACTTTGGCTGGGTCTTACGGGGGTACCACTCGGGAAAGACCGCCCATTTTCGGGATAGGGGCCCGCACGTGCATGCAGATTAAGTCCCCAAAGTTTCAGCCCCGTAGCTTTTGCCGGTCTGAGCCCGTACGTGCATGCAGATTAAGTCCCCAAAGTTTCAGCCCCGTAGCTTTTGCCGGTCTCGAGATGAAAAACCGATACAGAGGCCCAGCGCACACACAGACACATACACACACAGACAACCTCTCGTCAATATGCGTTTTTCGCATTGCATTGCTGCAAAAAACGCATAAAAACACACAGACAACCTCTCGTCAATATGCGTTTTTTGCATTGCATTGCTGCAAAAAACGCATAAAAAGCCTCAGTAACCTCCGTGCGAATTGCAACATTGCCGGCAAACAAGCGTCCACTAAGAAACACTGATGAGCAGTACAGCAACTCCGGAACCAGTGTTCATCTGGCCGCCGGAACAGGAAATCGAAGCACGCCGAGTCCGAATCTGCCTGCAGAACCTGGCAACACCGTAAAGCAACATGCTGAACATTCATCCTAGAAAATGCAAAAAATTAACCAGAAACTGACCGTAATCGCAAACCTTTCATTGCCCACAACTGTGAGGCCACAGAGACGAAAGTGACTGGGTCTTTTTAAAGTTAGAAGGATACCCCTGCAGGAAAAAATGCATAAAAACTAGGTTACTTTGAGAGCAAGATTCGAACAAAACGACAGAAAGGTGGACATAAACATAGGGATGGACAATCAAAGATGGACATAAACACAGAGAAAGTATTTGAAAGATCTTTTATCTCATCATCACCACAACACACCTGACAACTTTTTTCCGCTTTTTATGCGTTTTGCATATATGCAAATTGCAAAAACACATATTGGGAAGAGGCTGTGTGTGTGTCTGCGTGTTCGCACTTTTTGTCAATCACTTTTAACTCGAGAACCAGAAAAGCTAGAAGGCTGAAACTTTGGGAGCATGTGTCCATACCATGCGCGACCCTCCCGTTTTAATTTCAACTCCCTCGGGCGTCTGGGTGCCACGTATGAACGCTTTAAAAAAATACGTAAATCTTTTGGCGGGGAAGCGATCTCGGGAACCACTCGAGCTAAGGGGCTGGAACTCTGTAGAGATATTCCCTGTGCACGTACTAGCTAAAGATTTCATATTCAACCCCCAGGTATGCATGGTACTCAAGCAATGGCGTATGAAATTTTCCGCAGGAAAATTACTAACTCGTCAACCAGAAGAGCTGGAAGGCTGAAATTTCAGGAGGATGTTCCCTGTCCACGTGCAATTTAAAAATTTCCAATTCAGCTTTCCAGGCATGTGGAGGACCCAACTACAGGCAAGTGAAGGTTTTGGCGGAAAAATTGCTAACTCGATAACCAGAAAATCTGGAAAGCTGAAATTCTGAGGGAATGTTTCCTGTCCAAGTACAACTTATGTATTTCAAATTCAGCCTTGAGGTATGCGTGGTTCTTACGTACGAGCACTTAAATGTCTTGACGAAAAAATTTCTCGCTGAACAACTAGGCTACTTTTAAAGAACGACTGTAAGATGGAAATTGTGCATTTACTCTGCAAAATTTATGGTGATTTATGCTAGTGACCGCAAAAGGTAGGTGTAAAACAACAGCCATTCATACAATTAATGACCTGAATAATTCAATTTTGGTGCAAAAACGCTTGATCGCACGGGCCCGCCCGGTGCGTTCCAACCTGGGTTGTCTATATACATATGCAAAAACGCATATTATGAAGATCAGTAGTGTGTGTCTGTATGTATATGTCGTGGTATTTCAACCCGACGACCAAGCAAGCTTTAACACTGAAGTTTTGCCCGTATGGCCCTGGCCACGTGTGACCCTAAGAACGTGGCAGCAACTTTCATCCACGTCTGAGCTTGTGTACAGGCAAATGAAAGTTTTGGCGAGAAAAGTGCTTACTCGGGGACCAGAGAAGCTAGACAGCTGAAATTCTGAGGGGATGTTCCCTGTCCAAGTACAACTTAAAAATTACGATTTCAACCCCCAGTATGCGTGGTTCTCACGTAAAGGCATGTAAGATTTTTTGCAGGAAAATTGTTCATTGAACAGCTAGGTCATTTTCAAAGAACGACCGTTCAGAGGAAATTGTTCTTGTTTTTTTTCGTAAAATTCACGATAATTTATGTTTCGTACTAAGCTAAATGTAAAGCAACAACCATACAGTTGACGACTTGATTGCTTCAAGTTTAGTACAAACAGTTGAGCCTAATGCATTCCAGCCTTCCAGTTGCACTGACCAGTGCTGCATCGCCTAGTAGTCAGTCCTGCTGGTAATAGTGTTCATTCGTTTTGTCTCCTGAACGAATTAATAGCACAGCAGTCCACCCAACAGAAGTATTTAGCGAGACTTCAGCCGTCTCAAGAAATTTCTACTGTGTGTTCGATATTACCATCCTGTGACGAGTGCTACCACTTCTAGACCACGCTGAGAAAGCATCATATTATAGTTAGAATGGGATGGATTTCTGGTAGCGTGTACAGATGTGTCGGTGAATCGAAGGAACCAATGAGAGGTGTTGAGCCGGACTAATATCTCACACCAATAATTTATTGAATAACGCAACCATGAGAGGACAGAAGAATGGGTTATCACAGGAATCACCAATACAGACAACAAGCGGTTAACCAAAAAGAAGATGCCCAGTTGGCTGAAATCGAAGTAGACGATATGACGACATACAAGGACCTCGAATTATCGGATCGCTTGCAGCTCGTTTCTCTACCCATTAACCCCGACAGACTTTCCAAAATGTATTTTAAAACTGCGTTGGTGAGGAAGGAAGCCCATTTCCTTCGTCACGAATGAAATCTCCGGTGGAGGATTTCTCGACAAAAAAACAGGAGCGGGATTTTAGGTGAGATTTTGATGGTGTAATTAATGGGATAATCGAACAGCGTTACAAAACGCATATTGTCACGGGATTGCCTGCGTGCGTTTGTGTGTGTGTATGTGTGTGTGTGTGTGTGTGTGTTTGTGTGTGTGTATCCCACATTTTGTCCCGCGCTTTCAACTCGGGAACCACAAAAGCTAGGCGGCTAAAATTTTGGCACAGGTGTTCCCCGCCAACGTGTGACGCGGCAAATTTAAATTCAGCCTTCCCTAACCCGCGGGTAATACATACGGCCCTGTGAAAGTTTTTTACGGGTAAATTAATATCTCGGGAACCACGGAATCTAGGAGGCTGAAATTTTAGGGTAAAAACCCCCTGCCCACGCTCAACCCTGCCTATTCAAATTCGGCGTTTCTTCACTGTTGAGTATCACCT